ATTGGTGTTTAAATTGTTTACAGTTTTTGCTAATGTGTATATTCTTAGATGTGCCACATGTGCCAGATCCCACATGTGAGATGTCCTCACATGTGCCAGATTCTTTAGTGTACATATTCATGAATGGAGTTGCTTGATTGTAAGTATGAGCACCTATTTCCACCTGTATTACCAAGTTGCTATCTAAAGTGGCTGAATTGGTTTGACTTTCTTTCATTTCTATATGGTATTTAGCCAGTCTGGTATGAACTGAGTTTTGAACATCTTATGTTTTTTCACTCAGATTTCTTTTTCTGTTAATTGGCTATTCACAATTCTCATTTTTTCAAATCTTTTGTTTGTGTTTACTTACGGATTTTTAGGACTTGAAAATTAAATATTTTTTTGTTACATGTGTCATTAATATTTTCTCCTGGTCTGTGGCTTGATATTTTTCATTTTGTTTAAGACTCTTTTTGTTTAGAACTTAAAACTATTTAACATAGTAACATTTATAAGTCTTTTACTTTGTAAGTTTTACTTTTTATATGTTATTTTATAAATCATTCATTACCCAAAGGCATTTTTTATTACAGTTTTTCAAAGTTTTATTTTTATACTCTAGTTTGTAATTAGCTTAGAAATATTTCTTTGTAATGTGATACAAGGGTTTTAATTTTTTTTTTTTACAGATAACCTACATTTCAAAATAGCTATTGTTTAATAGTCCATGCTTTCTGCATTGATTTGCAGTGCCATCATGATCATATATTAAACTTTTGAAAATATGTGCGTCTTTTTCTAGATGCTCTGTCGATTTTCTTTTGCTTTTACTATTTTATTTACCATGATTTCATGCAGGTTTTCAAGTTTTGGAAAGAAAGTTTGCTCCTTCAAATTTGTGAAGGCTGTTCTTGGCCTTTTTTTTCTGTGAACTTTAGGATCAACTTAACCATGGTCCATGAAAGATCTTGTAGGGATTTTGATTGAATCATAATTGAATTTCAGTTCAATTTAGGGATATTTATTCTTATATCCACAAACATAGTCTATTTCTTCACTAACTAAGCTTTATAATTTTCTTTTTTTTTTAATTTTTTATTGAATGGTAACTATGTACATTAATGCACTCTGGGGTACAGTATATATATAATTTTCTTTATAAAGTGCTTCAGTATTTTTTTCTTATTAGAAAGCTTTAGCTTAAGTAACCTTTTAGAATGGTAGCTTTTCCTTTTAAATTTCTTTTTTTTTTTTTTTTTTTGAGACGGAGCCTCAAGCTATCCCCCTGGGTAGAGTGCCATGGCATCACACTCACAGCAACCTCCAACTCCTGGGCTCAAGCGAGCCTCCTGCCTCAGCCTCCCAAGTAGCTGAGACCACAGGCACTCGCCACAACGCCTGGCCATTTTTTGGTTGCAGCCATCATTGTTGTTTGGCAGGCCCGGGCTGGGGATTCGAACCCGCCACCTTAGGTGTATGTGGCTGGTGCCTTAGCCGCTTGAGCCACAGGCGCCGAGCCTTCCTTTTAAATTTCAAAGTGATTTTTGACTTATAGGAATTATATTAAATTTTATATATAGATCTTATATCCAGCAACAGTGATGAACTTCTTAATAGTCTTCCTTCATAACTCTCTATAAAAACAGTTATCACTCAGAGGTAACAACAGCTTTGTCACTTCATTAAAATTTTCACATTTCCTTTCTTTTTATGACACTAGGTTCTCTATTACATTATTAAATAAAAGTGGTGATTATAGATGTAATTGTTCCATTTCCTAGCTTTTAGAGGAAATTCTTCCTTTACTTAATCATTAAATATGATTTTGTTATAGGTTTTTTATGAACTTCTTTTTCTAACCCTAATAAACTAGATTTTTTTTTTTAAATCATAAAGGTAGCTAAGGAATTAACAAAACCACTTCTCATTTCTTAAAGACAAATCTGACCTTAGATGAACTTTCTACTTAGTTCCCCTGAGTCCTGATAAAAGGGGAAAGTCAACCATGTTACTAGGCAACATCATGGTGGTCAAAGTGACCTCTAGTATCTGCACTGGGAGGATATACACATGAACTCTAAATTCTTGGTTAGAAACTGTAGCTTTGAGCTTCCTCAGGAATACTGACTTTTTAGAAATGGTTATATTCTTTGTGGAAACCCTGGGAGCTGTGACTGAGACCATCATTTGACATATTGGCTTTTCTTTGGGATGTGAGGCTTCTACTATGAGGTCTGAATAGCTGTGCACCCACTCTTGTGATTTTCATTTCTTTGCATGTGAGCTGTCCCTTGGATACCCTAGAGAATAGCTCCTAGATGGCCATGTCTCTTGTGAGGACTCCTCACACAAAGAGAACACCTAAAACTGCCCCACTGGCATGCTGTGCTTTCCTCCTATGCTTTCAGGGTAGATGGCTGATGTGTGTGACCTGTGGTAATTGAGTAGCTCAGAATGTGTAGTTAGAAGTTCCATGTGGGGACTTCAAACAAAATACAGAGTGCATGTACAAAGTACAGAAATAACACATCACTGGGAGCTAGTCTAAGTTTATTACTCTCACACATAACCATCAATTTCTAATTTTTACCTATTAAAATATTCATTTCCATTGACTATAAATACATATTATAAATTTAAATTTAATCATCTATTAATAAATATGTTGGATTCTATATGTGTTTACCAATCCTGAAATGATTCTGCTACTTAAAAAAAAAAGTATAGTGGCTGAGTGCCCATGGCTCAGTGAGTAGGGCACTGGCCACATACACTGAAGCTGGCTAGCCTGGGCCTGCTAAACAACAACAACTGCAACCAAAAAAAAAAAAAAAGAAAGAAAAGAAATAGCCAGGCATTGTGGCAGGCACTTGTAGTCCCAGCTACTTGGGAGGCTGAGGCAAGAGAATCACTTAAGCCCAGGAATTTGAGGTTGCTGTGAGCTGTGATGCCACAGAACTCTACCAAGGGCAACATAGTGAGATTCTGTCTCAAAAACGAACAAACAAAAGTCTGGTAAATAATATTTTAGACCTGTACTATTTAATGGGTAGATGATTGCTATTCTAATATAGCTATTAAAATTAAATATAATTTAAAATTTAGGTTCTTAGTCACACTGGCCATACGTCAAATGCTCAATAGCCACATGTGGCTAATGGCTACTATTTGACGGTGGAGATGGAGAACATGATCATCGCTACAGAAAGTTCTGTTGGACAGACTTTCTTGGCTTTATTTTTTTAGTTATCTATATTATCAGAGAGCTGTATATTCTGTATATGATATGGCTAGATGAACCAATCACATGTTTCAGGGGCAGTATGGGAAACCCCAGTGTGTTTTTTAGGTAATGATCCACTAGAGCAGGGGTCCTCAAACTTTTTAAACAGGGGGCTAGTTCACTGTTCCTCAGACCATTGGAGGGCTAGACTGCGGGCCCCAGGACGAGTCGGTTGCTAAGCAGGACAGGCAGTGGCAACAAAAACACCCGGTGGGCTGGATAAATTTCCTAGGTGGGCTGCATGTGGCCTGCGGTCAGTAGTTTGGGGACACCTGCACTAGAGGAATAATTCTCAGATTTGAATACCATGGTGTCTTGTACAGGGTGTCTCAAAAATCATACATTTATTTACAGAATATTCACTACAAAATTTTACAAAGTGGTGGCCAACACGTAGAGAATATTTCATAAATATTTTATAAAGTTGTATAGTGAATATTTTGTAAATAATAAAAATACATTTAGCTACCATTTCCCTTTTTCCCTGTGTGTGGCAACTTCAGGGACACCCTGTATTTTTCCCTTCTAATCATGTCTAGTGTTAATTTTGTAATTGATCGATTTTCCCTTTTTTACTTTGTCTATGAGAAAGTATAGGGACAAATTTATGGCTCAGTTTAAGTAACCATTTGGCCTACATATTTGTAAGATTTTTTTTTTTAAAGCTCTTGTTTTATCTCTCAGTCTGCTTATTTTCTTGTCTGGGTTTTTGCATTTATAAAATACAATTTTATTGTAATTTCTTCATTTTAAGGAGAGAAATTATTTTAAAAAGTATGATGAATTAATAAATTTGAGATTTTGATTAACACGTTAGTCATTTATTGCTTTAGTCACTTGTGAAGAGCCACTTGTTACTGGACACCAGTAGTGAGGAACAAAGGAGGTAAAGGCAGCTGTGGCTAGTGATGATCACAGTACCCATGTGTATTATCCACACATCCTGCTGAATGAGCTGATGTAGAATGTTCACCGCCATAACGCCAGGTTAGCAGGCTTTATGTAGGACATTTTTGATTTTCAAAAGTAAAACTTCTTACTAAAGTCACTTGTTAAAAATTTCACATTTTTAAGTATTGCTAGGGAAATTACCCAAGAGCATTTTTGAGTATTTTACCCCAACAAGTGACTAGGGTTTGAAAAAAGAGGGTAGAGGACTCCTTTTGATGACAAAGAATCTAATTCTGGATATTTACCTTCTCAGTAGAAAAACACCACTGTTCTGTCTTTTCCATTTTATTTTGTTTACAAGCAGGTCAACATTATGTATGCCTTTTGCATTTTATAGCTTTTCATATTTCTAAAATACTTAAAGCAGTTTATGCATTTTAGGCCAAAAGGTAAAATAATTATTTTTTCTTAAGGCATAATCACACTCTGTCACCCTGGGTAGAGTGCCATTGCGTCATTGTAGCTCACAGCAACCTCAAACTCTTGGGCTTGAGTGATCCTCTTGCCTCAGCCTCCAGAGTAGCTGGGACAACAGGGATGCAACACTATACCTGGCTGATTTTTCCATTTTAGATGGAGTCTTGCTCTTGCTCAGGCTGGTCTTGAACTCCTGAGCTCAAGCAGTCCACCTGCTTTGTATGGGAGAGAGCCATCACACCTGACCATGTAAAACAATTGTATAAATAAAAAAACCACTTTAAAAAAAAGTCAAATGAAGTACTCCTGTATATCAGTGTTGAGCAGATTTCAATGATATATATGTATTTGATTTTATGCTTTGTAGATGCTAAAGTGGGGGAAAGAAACACAGAATCATACAGTTTTCATGTACTGACAGCCAGAAGCATGTAAACATCTGCAGAAACCAAACGTTTCCTGGAACTAAGCTTGAGCAGAAATTTGTCACGTGGACCTTTGTTTAAAGAACCTAGTGAAAAACCACAGTTATATAAAAGATCCAGGAGTGCAGTTCACGTGGATTGGGTCTCTCTGGAAGGGAGAGAGTCTGAAGAGACCAAAGAAAAGGAAAATTCGGGAAGTGCACTTGCTGGGCACAGGGACTGGTGAGTGCAAAGGGGCTCTGTGGGCACTGGAACTGTGCCAGAGAAAGAGTTTGGAAAACTATGAATTGTCAATGAGGACCAGTAGATTTCCTTTTCTCTAAAATCCTACATGTTGCCAGTGTGGTTTTTGTATAGGTGGTAGCTTTATTCAGTTCGTCTCATCCTTTAACAAATGTGTGCAGTAGAGTTATTTTATTTTAGTGATTAGTGGGTAAACTTTTAAGCTTAGAAGGAGCAAGCATTTTTCATAGAACTTGAAGAGCTGGGGTAATATTTTTGCCCATACAGAAGTCTAGTTTACTTCAGGGTGAAGGGTAATAATAGAATCTTTATTTTTGTTTTCAAGGAGCTTGTATTCATTAATACAAATTTTCAAACCAGAGAATAATTTAATAAGTCTTCACAACCAATGCGACATGGAACAAATAGCTATTGCTTGAAATGCTTGACAGACAAATATAACAAACTATTCATCTTTTGCATGAAAATGTAAACTTTAAAACTTCAGTATGGTTATAACCATGCTGTTTTCTTTTTAAGAATGCTTATGTCCCTTAGCCTAGTAGGGCGAGTTAACTAAAACATTTTATAAACAACTTGGCCTGTCCTGTAGATTAATGATCCTTACATATTTACCAGGCATAACAGTTTTACTATAGATGTTATTTACTTGCTGCTTCATTGTGAGGGTGTCTATCATACCCCCTGAGTGAGGGGCTCTTTTACAAGTGGAATTTTACCATAGAAGTGAGAGCAATTTAACCTAAAAATTCATACCCTCATATTAATTTGAAATAAAAAAATATTTGCTGCTTATTCTGATGAAATAAGACCAATAACTTCTGCTTCTTAAGACCAAATCACACTTAGCCAGCAGTGTACAAAGAAAGATGTGTTCCTGAGATTTAGGGGGGGATCTCTGGACCGTTTTGAAGTCTGGTAATATATGCCTACCATACGAAGTTTTTAACAAAGATGAAATATGATACTGTATGTAAAATATCGGGCACCTAGTTCTTCATCGTGTTATTGGTGTTCACTGTACATATAGAGTTCCTCTAGATTTTTACACTATGTTATATAGATATATATTTTTTTAGGCATGTTGGGATTCATAAATATTTCCTTTTCTGATTTTAGCAGTGTTGATTTCTTTTGACTTCTAAAGAAAACACTTAAATACATGTTAAATACATGAGTTTCTATTCATTAAATTATAGGTTGATGATAATTCAGGAACTAATACAAATGGTTTTTGAATGTCTTGGTAAAATGAAATACGGTTTAACCAATGGTCAAGAATAGAATGATAGAGTCAGAAACAGATTTGCTCCAGTTTTATCTGTGAAATTTAGTTAACCATATAAAAATATTGCACTGATCAGATATTCTCATGCAGAGTTTGGTAAGAACCAAGTGTGGGTGTTGAGTCTGTGCATTAAAGATAGAAGTGTGTGCAGGCTGGCCTGGCCTGTGTCAGAGAATGCTTCCTTTCATGAGAAAGAGGCTTGTTTATGAAAAGGAAGCTGAACACCCTTGGCAATAGGCTGAGAAATGCCTTTGGGAGAGTTAAGGCAATTACAGATATTCCTGAGAAAACTAAAGAAAAAGAAAGCAGCCACAACTAAACTCTCCGTTGCTCTTCCTACCATCCAGTGTTAAGTATCTGCATAGCTACAAAGTTTCCTTACAGACAGTGAAGCAAATGATGCCACAGTGAAGCAAATGATGCCGCAGTAAGAGCGCCTAGAAACTCTGTCAAGGCAGCACTCACAGGCAAAGCATTAGAATAACCATTACATAAACATTAAAATAAGCATACTTCCACCAAAGGTGGAAATTGTTGGGCAGTTGCTTTATTATTACAGTTGAAAAAGCCTGATATTGATAATTGGGATCCAGATGTCATTTTTCATTCTATTTAATTCTTAAAGTTAAAAATAGTCATATGTAGAAAAACCAAAATTGTAGTAAGAGATGTGATCGTCAGCAAGACTTTGTGTGCAAGTTAACTGTGTGAAATTTGATTATAACTGACATGGACTGTGCTCCTCCAGAGCTTGCTGTTAAGAACAGTGGGGTCTGAAGAATTAGATGACTTGCCTACCCATGGTAGGATTTAACTTATTATTTTCAACCATTCGTTATTTAATGAATATATATTGGAGACCTATTACGTGCCAGGCATGTCCTTGCTATGAGGGGATACAGTACTGAACAAACCAAAAATTTTAACTTTCTGAAGCTTAAATCCTCTAGGAGAAAGAGAAACAGAGAAGTTGGTGAAAGAAATATGAATGATTGAATATAAACAAATAAATCAGAGGTGAGGGGAATAGAAAGTGCAATGGTGGTAATGAGGTATGGCATGAAAATAGGGTATCCAGAGGTTTCCTTAACAGCTTGACTTTGAGGTTGACACCTGAAGTAGATGAGGGAGCAGGTCCTGCCGATAGAGTGGGGACAGAACAAGTGCATTCACATCCTTGAGGGGTGGCAGAGAGGACAGTGGGATGAGAGTTGGGTAGAACCAGGGAGAGAGGTCCCCTGGGGCCAGTCAGTGTCCTTGTAGGCCACTGTCCTTACTGACTCTTTCTAAAGGGTAACAGTGGGAGGATTTTGAGCAAAGGAGTGGCATGATCTGACTTTGTTTTACCAATACCAGACTTTTGTTTTAAAAACAAAGCAGGGCCTCCCTTGCCTCTATTTCTGGGAGGCTAGGGAAGAACCAGCTGGGAGACTGTCGGCAGCAGTGCAGATGGATGTGAGGGAGGCTCACAGGGCAGCAGTGGTGTGAAGTAGGAGAAGTACTTGGAATTCAGATGTGGAGCAAGCCAACAGGATCTGCTCATGGACTGGATATAAAATGTGAGAGAAAGAGCCAAGTCCAACATGACTTGGAGGATTGAATTACCATTTACGGAAGGGTGGATGCCTGCAGCAGTGTCAAGCTTGGGGAGTGGGAGGGACCTCAAGAGGTTGGCACAGAGTGATGCTGTTAGAGTGGAATGTCTGTTGGGAGATCCCATGGGAGATGACAAGTAGGTGGCTGAACATATAAGCCCTGAGTTCAAGAATGCAGTTGAGACTCTTTATACATGGAGTTATAGTGATGAGACCCCTTGAGATGACCAAGCAGAGGGAGTATAGATGGAAAAGAAGTTGGAGGACTGAAAACCCTGGATCACTTTAGCATTAGGAGGTTGGGTAATCAGGAGCCTAAGGAATGACTAGTGAAGGAGGACAGATGAGAGTGAGGAGAGTATAGTGTCCAGGAAACCAAGCAAAGAAAGAGGGAGTGATAAGCTCTGTGAGTACTGCTGAAGGTCCAGGAAGATGAGGACTGAACATTGGCCATTAGAAAATTGAGTGAAAACTGTCACTCAATTGAATAAATTCAGTTAACCTCTGTCTGGGGACAGCAATGGTACCTGCCTCATAGGGTGGTGGTGATGAACAGTGAAGTGGATGAGATAATTATTTAAAGTGCCTGTCCTAGTACCGCCTCTTGAGTATTTCAAGGTGGAAGTCATTGGCAGCTTTAACGAGAGCAGTTTTAGGGGAGCAGTGGGATGGTTGAAATGGGTTCAGGTGAGGTGGGAAGAGAGAATTGGAGGCAGGTATAGTCAGTTCTTTTGCATATTCCTGTAAAACTGGATTGGGGAAACAGGGAGTTAATACGTGGGAATGTGGAGTGAAGAGAAAGACCACCTGGCCAGCTTTCCTCCCTCAGTGGTAGGCTTTACTGATGATGAGCATTGCCTGTATAAGGGGAAAAATTGGTGACGTAGTTGGATATAGGATTGTGAGGCATTTAGGTTATAGATAACAAATTGACTGAAATAACTGGATTGTTCTTTGCCACCTGCTGCTCCTTCTCCATCTCTCATTCATTCATTCAACCAACAGATACTTACAGTTCACAGGTTGCCAAGGACTGTGCTAGGTGCTGGGTACAGTGGTGGTGAAGGGGTGAAGCAAACAGGCATGCTCTTTACACCATCACAAAGTTTTTATAGTCTAGTGAAAACAGACTATAAAAAACTCACAAATATAGGTTGGATGACTCCCTTGCAGGGAAAGTACAGAGCACTTTTGGGAGAGAACCAGTGAGAGAGAGAATAGTGTGGTGCAATTTGGAGTAGGGGCATACAGAGAGTCTCTCAGGTGTCCAAGGTGGTCATGGCTGAGAAAAAGAGCATCCCAGTAGAGAGAACAGAGTGTGCAAAGGCCTTGGGGCGGGGAGAGAGAACTTGTTACTTTTGGGAACGTAAGAGAAGGCCAGAGTGGCCTGAAAGTTAGGAAGGGACCAGCTCAATAAGGGCTCTTCCATATTAAAGGTTTGGTATGTCCTAAGAGCAATGGGAAGCTGCTGAAAAGCTTTTAGTGGGAAGTGATATGTACAGTGAGATTTGCATTGAGAAATATATATACATATATATGTGTGTACGTCTATACATATATGTGTGTGTGTGTGCGCTGAAGTGAGTTCTGATGGATTGATGGATTTTGGAGTACATGAGTGGGAAAGAACCCACCAATGAAGGCAAAAAGATAGGATCTATGAAAATATTTAGGCTGAAATATTTACAATTTGGTTATAACCAGAATTGAGAATATCCTTTATTTAGCAAAGTTTGCTTTATGCTTCCCAGATTTCTCAGAACCCGTGAAGAGAGTATTTTCTTCTTAAAATATTATTAATAGGAAAGAGTCAGCTGAAGATGTCTGTGATTTCAGATGAACATAAAATGAAACTTTGAAAATGATTGTGGCAGCTTTGTGAAAAATTAAAAATAATGAGACCATGTTATTTTTTTCTAGAAAAAAAATCTTAGTGAATCAGTATTAAAGACAGAATCTATTAAGAAAACCAATTACAGTATATGAATTATATACCAAGATGAATCTGTTTATGTTAAGTGTTCATGTAAATAAACTTTTGAAAGTAGTGTATATACATTGTTTTCATTTTTTAGAATAAAACCAATATATTGAAAGGGTTTACTGGCCAATAAATATTTCAAAAGCTCTCTCTTTCATTTTCAAAATTGTCTTAGTTTGGACAATAAAGAATATAGTTATAGCAGATTTCTACCAGTTAAAGGGTTAGACTGGTTTACAAGTGAGCAAATTCTAGTACACGTACAAGGTGCATATTTTATTGTATCAATTTAAGCTTTTTCCCAAAGAGATTTATTAAAACAGAAAGGCAGTCATACTACCAAATATTGCTGTGTCAGATCACCTGCCACTCCAAGACTATGAATTAATTTATTCTGAGCCCTCACTGAAAAAGAGAAGAGTGGCTTATGCCAGTAATCCCAGCACTTTGGGAGGCTGAGGCTGGAGGATCACTTGAGGCCAAGAGTTTGAGACTGGTCTGGGTAACATAGTGAGACCTCATCTCTGTGAAAAATAAATGAGCTGGGTAAGGTGGTACACATCTGTAGTCCCAGTTATGTAGGAGACTGAGGCAGGAGTATCACTTGAGCCCAAGAGTTTAAGGTTTCAGTGAGCTATGATGATGCCACTATAGTCTAACCTGGGGCAACAGAGCAAGACTTTGTCTCTTCAAAAAAAAGGGGAACAAAAGTTGTTTCCTATCCAGATAACTCATGAGCGTTCTACCTTGGTTGTAACTCCAATTTTCTTTCTCACACAGGCATTTATTAATGTTTTTAGGGGTTAGAAGAGTTGGGATACTTTGCCATCTGGAGTTTCTCTGCGTGCTTCTCTGAGCTCAGTCCTGCCGGTTGGTGAGAGATAACAGATAATACCCTGTAACAGCTGAGTAAGTAGATGCTGCTGTGTGTTTTGTTTTACTGCTTAAAAAAAAAAGTAAAGCACTACAACTTTAAACTTTTAAAAATATTACAGACTTTAATTTATAATAAGTTTCTTATTATGCTTCTTTAAGTTTTTCTCTTGAATAATGGTTATAATTATGATAATTCTAAAAAGCAAATATTTGTAAATAGGATTCTGGAAGAAATTATTCCCTGGATGATAAAAGAGTTAATGAAAACATTTTCATACATAATACTTTAGCTTTTAAGAAACATAGGACCTAAATGGATATGTTAAAAATTTAAACACATTGTCCTTAGTGCTTTGTTTCACTTTTACATTATGAAATGCAAAAGTATTGGTAGGGCAGCTGTTAATAAATTTTTAAAATGCAATTATATATGAAAATTGTGTTTTAATGGAGGATGCATTATAGTTAATTTGAAATAAATACCAGTTTAGTGGAAATAGAATTTTAATGGTTCTTTATATTTGACAATAACATTTTTTTGGATGCTAATATAGATAAGATCACAGAATCTCTCTGGATTTAATTTTGTTTCTTAAATAATGACATTCAATCTTTCTAATCAAAACACCTAACTAAAAGTTTAAAGCATTGAGTCAGCTATCGTAATATAAATGGTTTCTCAGAATGAGAGCTATTATTACTTTTCATACATCCTTTGAAACTGTTTTGACAAAACTTATAAACCATGACAAAACTTATAAACAAAAATTATAGACAAACTTGTACACTTGTAAACAAAACTTGTTTTAAAATCTTAGGTTAAAAACAATGAATACATCTATAAGATATTCCCCCACTACAGTGGAATTATTTAACTTTGATCCTAACCCGTGCTGATCACTATGGTAGCTCCTGGCCCCATGTAACTCTTGAACATTTGGAATAGGGGAAGTACCAATCTAGATGCACTCTGCAGAAAATAACATGTTTCAAAGACTTAGAATGAAGAAAAGACTAAGATAGTTTAGTAATAAGTTTTACATGAGTTGTTGAAATGAGAATATTGTGGATATATTGAGTTAAATACATTATTAAAATTAACATCACCTGTTTTCTTTTTAAAATGTGACTGCTAGAAAATTTAAAAAACTACTGTGGCTTCCATTATATTTCTCTTGCGCAGAACAGATCTATATTATATACAGTCAACATTCTTAGTCATCTATTACTTAGCATTCTGTAGTTTTTGAACTTTCTGGTCTGTGGATGAATCACATTTTAGAAATACATATTTAGAATCTATGATCCATAGATTCATCATGTGTTTACGGAGCACCTATTACCTGCCAGGCAGCTTTGTAGGCACAGGTGATACACTAGTGCACACAATGAACTGAACTCTCTACCTCAGTGGAGTTAACATGCTAGCAGGAAGGCACAAATCAAGAACAAATAGATAAGTAAAATATATAATGTGGAGGGCAGCGTGTGTTTTGGAAAAATGTAAGGCAAGAAGGGTGACTGTTGGGAGGCTCACTGATAAAATAGGGCATTCAGGAAGGGCTCGCTGTAAAGGTGATGTGTGAGCAGAGTCTTAAAGAAGTTGAGGAGGCAGTCTCTATAGATATTTGGGGGAAGAGTGTTCTAGGCAGAGGGCATAGCAGATGTAGAGACCTGAAGGAGAAGGGTGCCTTAGTTGTTTGAAGAGCAGAAGGAGGCTAGGGAATGGAGTGAGGTGAAGGAAGGGGAAGGGAGAGACGAAGGTGAGAGGAAACAGATGGTCATGTCATGTGAGCAGTGGGCATTGGAGGGCTTTGGCTTCAGAGGAGAGGAAAATTAACTGGTAGGTGTTAAGGAAATAGGCAATACAATCTTTCTGTTGAAGCTGCTGTGATTTGAATACTCTGGGAATAGGTAGGGGCATTTGCAAGAGTGGGAGCAGAGAGATCCACTTTGAGGCTGTGCAGTGGCCCAGGTAAGAGATAAAAGTGCCTGAGACTTCGAAAAAGGGGAATAATGAGAAATGATGGAATTCTAGTTGGGTGTTGTGAAATTGGACATGGAATGAGAGACAAAGAGAGGCATCACAGATGCTGAGATGGGATTGTGTAGGGACCTGTCTTGGGCAGTATTAGGAGTTCAGAGTGAGACAAGTTAACTTTGAGGTGCCTCTTTAAACATCACAGAAAGGTCAGTTAGGCAGAGTCTGGATTTTTAGGAGAGGTCAAGTTGAAGAGGCACATTTGAAGCCATTAACATTTAGCTGTTATGTCATGAGGAGGGTTGAGACCACCATGGGAGTGAGAAGAGTGGTCCGGGACCTGAGGCTGGGAAGTGTAATGAAATCAGCAAGGGAGATTGAGGACAGGAAGGGAGCAGTTGCTGTAAGACAACAAGGGGAAGGAAACATTTCAGAGAAGCAGTAGTCACCAGCCTTGCCCCATGTAGCTGATAGGTAAGACATGAGCTTAAAATTGATCCTTGGATTTAGCAAGGAGGAGGATTTTGGTGAGCTTCATGAGAGTGGTTTCAGTGAAATGGTGGAGACAAAAGCCAGGGTGGAATAGATTGGAGAGAGAATGGGAGGAAATGGATTGAAGAGAATGGGAACTGTGGAGGCAAAAATGGCCAAGGAAATAGTTGATTTTGGTTTTTAAATGAGGGAACGTACATGTTTCTCCCAATTGCATGTATTAGATTTCAGGTTATTTTTTCTGAAATGACCCATGAGATTTATGACATTTAAGATTGTCACCTGTGAGTGCATGTGGGAAAGTTTAGTGTTTCTCTTATCAGAGGATTTCATAGAATTGTGTTTTGGAAAGAAAGGGAGGGGAGGAGAAAATAAGATTGTGGAGTTTGGAACTGATTGTGTTAAAGATTGCTGTTGCAATTATGAAATTTGACTTTTGCTTGCTGTCTGCATTCTCATTTCAATAAATAAATATTTTAAGGTAACAATGTTAAAACCAGTCTCCTCAACTGAGAGTGTTGAAAAAGCTGGGGGTGGGGGAAGGCCATTTCTTTATCTTATTTTGAGGCAGTTACTGAAACATTTGAAGAAATAAAGACAGAGACATGCCCAAGGTCACACAAAGTTAAATATGGCCAGAATAACTGGATTTTAGATCTGACTTACTAGCTGTGAGGAACACTTAATCCCTCTGTGATTCAGTTCCAGCTGGTATAAAATGAGGATAATATTTGCTCTACCCACCACATGACCTTTTTATGAGGATCAGATAAGATAGTAGGTGAAAGAGCTTAGTCAGCTACAGAGTATTGTATACATGTAAAGTAATTGTGTGAAAAGTAAGCTAGGCTTGAAGATTTGGTGACAGTTTTTGGAATAACTATAGGAAGTGGAATGCCACAAAATCTGGATTGATAATATTTATAATAAATACATAATGATACTAATACAAGTAAAAGAATTTGCTTTTTGCCCATGTCTAGCTTTGTTAATGATACCACAGAATCTTTTATATCGTATCTGGGCCATCATAGCGTTCTGTGGTCAAAAGCTGTGACTGAGATCCAAGCAGTCAACTGATTTATCCCCTAGGAGTCTCAAACTTACTGAACAGGTGGCTATTTTGGTACTTCAATACAATGTCAGCTTGCTGGCACTGTGTGGAAGAGCCATTCTCTTCATGGAAAATATTCAAACTCAGTGATAAATTTTATTTCAGACTTGGAGAACATTTCTATATTTGATACTTGAAGTGGAATTATAGTCATACTTTATTTTTATATTATAGTCATACTTTATACTATGGGAAATTGAGAAATTAAAAATGGATAGCCAAGATCACGCCCAGCAATGATGATGTGAAAAAGATTGGTGATTCTTTTTTTCAGTGAAACAAGTATAAAACCGAATAAGATCATCAAAAAACAATCATTTCTGGGCATTGGATATTGACCAAAAAGGCAGACCATAAATTGGGAAGCATTACTGATACTCTAGATCAGTGGTTCTCAACCTTCCTGATGCCGTGACTGTTTTACAGCTCTGTGGGTCTTGACCCACAGGTTGAGAACCGCTGCTCTAGATCTTTAGGTAAGAAAAGTGGGTCTTTGTGGCCTTCTTGCCTGGGGCGGCTTCTGTCTCTCAATCCCTTCAGTTAGTGACAACTGTGGTTTTACAGGACTCAGAATCTGGGTGAGGGTTGAGGGTAAGAATCCACAGTTTTGCTGGCTACAAGTGGCATATTCAATTCATAATGCAAAACCTATAGCTTTGCTGCTTTGAGTTTGCAGTTTGCTGGTTCAGTGCCACTAATCAGAAATATGAGAGAGAAATCACAGGTAGATCCTAGAAATGACAGAGCTGTAGAGGGCTGAGATAAGTTCTTCATCAGTCCATGGTACACAGCTAAATTTTGCATGTCCAGGGGATACTCCGGAGAGCCAGCAGAGCGTGAAAGCCCAGAGAGAAGCGTGATTTTGAATGCTCCCTTCAGTGGCAGGCTGTTCCATAAACAGAGGGTGGACACCTTACAAATGCAAGGTGGTTGGGACCTCTACCCACGTCACTGGCTGATCGTTAAGCAGACACATGCATCATTAGGGAAATGCAAATTAGAGGCATAATAAGATATTGCCCCATAAGTACTAGAATGACTAAAACAATAATAAAAACCCCTGACAATCTCATGTTGTTGACAAGGATGTGGAAAAACCAGAATCCTCAGAAATTGCTGGCAGGAACATAAAATGGTACAGCCACAATGGAAAATAGGTAGTTTCTTAAAAAGTTTAATACACACTTAATGGGGGACACAGCAATTCTATTCCAAGTTATGCTGTGGGGGGAAATGACAGCATATATCCAGGCAAAGTTGGTATACAGTGTTCACAGCAGCTCTATTTGTGTTTTACAAAAACTGGCAATAATTGACATATCCATTGCTCATGAATGGATAAGCAAACTGTGGTATATCCCTGTAGCAGAATGCTGCTCAGGAATGAAAAGGAATGGACTATGGATACACGGCACATTTTATGCATCTCAGAGTAATAATACTGAG